CACTGGCAAAATATACGATTTGTAGATCTGGTCGAGTGTAGTCGTACTTAAAATATTTTTGAAACAGCGCATTAGGTATAATGTATATTTACACTTTTTTGTGACCTCGTATACAGGTAAAGACCAGTCTAGCTTGGGTGTTAAGTGCAAGCCCAGATGTTTATGTCGATCGACATACTGAATCACATTTCCGTTCAATAATAGCTGAGGGCGTGCAGGAACTTTGCCGAAAAACATTGCTACACATTTTTTTAAATTCAAGGGTAACTGTCAAAATTCGGTCCACTCTAAAACATTTTCTAAATCTTGATTTAACATATTTTCACTCATAAGAATATTGTTCGAGCTATGATACATTGACGTATCGTCCGCAAATAAATGAAGTTTTGTAATATTATTTCATTTGTATTTTCATTTTCCATTTCATCAATTCCGAAAATGATTTGTCCTGCGATCATATTGTTCCAAATGATTCATCCTTTTATCCATATCTGCTTTACATTCACGTATTTCTTTGTTACACTGAGATAATTTAAGATTTACATCTATTGGATTATCAACTGTGGATGATTGTTGACCGTATGAATTTTTAAATTGTTCTAATTCACGATTAATCTGTGCTATTTTTTCATCTAATTCTGCTTTTAGATTTAAAGTGTCTTCAATCTGCTTCTTATATTTACACATTGCATCCAGTAGCACTTTATTTTCTGCTAATTTACTATGAATTGTCGTGATTTTGTCATCAACTTTATAAATGTTGTCTAATTTCAATTTACCAAATTTATCCAAACCGTACTCATTTTCTAATACCTAATTATTTTCTTGAGTGGTTCAAGAAAAGTGCCACTGTGAAACATGCGATACACAAATTCAATTTCATCAAATAAGCTCATGTTATTTCAAAGAAAATATTAGGGTATTAACTATGATGAAAGAGTAGTTATGACGAAGACAGTTTTGGAATGCGACTGCTCTGTAGATGAAAAGCAAGAGGAATCACAGTTTTCATTTCTCAGTTTTTAAATTACACAATCGCCGCATAGATGAGAAATAGAAAAAGAAAGCAGTTCACTGAGTTTTGTTAAATAGTGCTACCCATTCAAATAGCAGTGTTTTGATTTAAATTTTGCACATGTTTCTCATGAAGATAAATGCAAATTAAAGTGGGCAAGGACGTGTACATAAAATTTAAACAAAACTTATCTTCCGCTGTGTCGGATTTAGATTGACCGATGGCAGTATGTGCAATGAACAATGGTCAAAATTTTCGCTAATCATTCGATATGTGATTTTTGTTTTCAATTTTTATATTATAACGCGCATATTTATACAAATGTTTCTACATCTGTTTTACAATAAAAATTTACTACAGCTTTTTTTACACCTTTGTGCATAAAATCATTTATTCTACCTTCTTATCGTTATCAAATGTATTTCATTTTTATTTCATATTTCTCGTCGAAAACGTCAACCATCGTATTATTTATTATTAATCGCAGAAAAGGAAACATGTACATCATATCGTCTTCTTTCTTCTGCAATGAGAGAGTGTATGTAGGTTATATACTACATATCTTCTATACAGCGATTGTGTAATTTAAAAGCTGAGAAACGAAAACTGGGCCTGTATCCTTCACCGACTCTTTGTGGTTATATCTAGGTGGAAGATGGTTTTTTCTTTTGTTCTCCGTGATCACCCATTTGTGTTATAAAATGCGAATTTACCAATTCTCTTTACGAATTCGTAGATGCCAAAGCATATCCGACGTCGTCTCTTCGTATCGATTCGCATAGTTCTCACTTCAATTCGCCGTTATTTTTACGAATTCGTAAAATGCGAATTTATATTGAATTACAAAACAATGGTAAAATGCGAATTATTGTATCATTTTTAGGCTCAAAAATTGCGATTTGTCAATTCGTCTGTAGACACTTTGTCCACACTAACGAGATCAGCATGTTTGCGCTTGTCGCAAGGAAACATTTAACACCGGCACATCAATAACATATAAATGTTCAGAATACAAAAGGTATCCATTGTGTCAGTTTTAACTAAAAGCAAAAGTTCAGAGGGGTATGAAGTATATTCGTCGGAAGTACGTAACCATCATACACGCGATCTAACAAGTTGTCATCCATGCAATAAGTTTCGCATTGAAGAATCGTTTTGCCAAAGACT